ACTTCATGATATCATGCGCTATTCATCAATTGGAGCTCACATTAGTGCGAAGTTCACGACACACTAGATTAATCACGTGAACTATAATAGCCGTTGCCCAAGAAGTCATGACGAGGTTGAGGACTGGTCAGCAAGCGAATGTCCACTCCTGCAACAAAATCTAGAGACTTCAGGTAAAGTATACACGCGCAAATCGATACGCGTAAGTGGTGTTGCTTCTCTAGGCTGTATCCAGTCTGGGGACTGATGATCGAAGAATAGCGTACTCCCCCTTTTCTACACAACGGTCGCAGCCTCAGCATGGTCAGGAGTTAAGTAGATTGGAGGAAGATATATGATCATGATGCAGGTCAACTTGCCGATACAGGCCTTCTCTTTCTCAGATGTGAATTTCATAACGTAGTTTCGATACGAGTATCTGCTCAGAAACTTGCTCGTAGCCATCGTTTGCTCCAAGACGAGAGAGGCAAAACCAATAGCCAGTGGAAACCTGAAACAAGGTTAATAATATTCTGACTTGTTGGAGTGCAAATTGTGGAAACGAAAGAGGATCAAAGAGTATCTGCAACACATTAGAGACTTTCTCAGAAAAACAAATGTGCTACATTGAGCTTATTGTTCATCTGTATGATGAGGACACGTTTATAAATTCATCAGTTGCACTTCGCAGTCAACTTCATCGACTATGAAGAGCAATTTACCAAGGATCTCAACACCGTGAGGATCATCAATGTTTACCATCTAACTTATATGCGAAGCCACCGAACTTGTCTATATGGAGATTTGAACTTAGCACTTCACTTGTGAGCGACTGGAATGATGTAGATTGTCGCTATGGGTAGACGCTGTTGGACATGTTTCTCTGATTTCCTTTTTCAAGACGCACACATCAATCTGTGGCAGTTACTTCCCAAGGAAATCACTGCCACATTATAAGACATAACGCTGAAAAGACTGTATTTTGTTCTGCAAGTCAATCTACTCATCAGTCCTCCTCCTGCATTCTCTCCGTATGAAATGCTAATATTGAAAATGATGTCGTAGTACTTGCTTTCTTGTATCCTTGCACTTATCGAATGATCGTTTCATAACCTCGTGACAAATCCATGCTTTCGGTTTTTAGATATGAGGGAAAGTTTAGACCATGCTTTAAGTCGTCTATCTCTTCTCCGTTTCTCCTTTTGTTTCTCGTTTTGGGGGATATCCCCACCTACGTTCTGTCGAAAACTCTTTAATCTTTTACGCTTAATTGCACCTGATGCTAGGTGTATTTAAGCAGCGTTTACCTCACTAAAGCAAATCATCCATTAACGGATAAATTGTTCCCCCAGTACAGGTCTTCAAGAGGTGATTCTAGCGTAGTAATCACCGTTGCAATGCTTCTAAAAGACTCATCAAAGAGGCAGCTAATTGAACCGACGTCACGAAGAGAACAAAATGTATTCATCGGATGACGACTCTGTGAGAATTTAAGGAGACTCTCATGAGATTCATTCGCATGCTATGAGATGTTGATTGCAAATGCAGGTGTGCCGAGGTGCAGATTGTCTGACGTGTTTATGGAAAGCATGTGGTTCAGGTGAGATTGAACCAATTCAGATACCCCACCTGAGGCACAGATCTTAAATGAAGATGATGACATTCATGTACGATTCTGTAGGTTTCAGATTGGCCCTCGGGTTTCGTTCCTATCGGCTGTAACGTCTAGTTAGTCCTGAGACATCAAACATTGACAATCACTGATGTCACTGAAAGTCAACACACGTGTGCGGGAAAAGTTGACTGTGAAAAATCTCTTGGTAAACAAATTTTCTGCAATTAGCTTTTAACTGCTCATCGCAGGAGGTCTTTATCAGAAATGTAAGAGAAGAGAAAACAACCCGAAAAGCTGTAGAGAGTTCTTTCTTCGGTCGACTCTGTACTGTTAGTTGGGTAGTTGACTTGGTAGTCCTTGGTGACTTGGTACGGCAAGGACTACCAAGAATTTCTCCAGCTGAACGGTTCATGATCAAGATCGATCGCATTGTGAGTAGACTGTGCGTTAATACCTACATTGTCCTAAATGCTAATACACCCTAACCTCGTTAATATCACACCCTCGGTTTCACCATAACGTGTGACATTTTCGATAATGTCACATTTTGAAAATTTGTACCTAATGTGATATTATCAAAAAAAAGTAAAAAAATCAAAATAAAATTATAATGCAAAAAAAATAACAAATGAAAAATTTCAAAATTTTTAGATCTAAAATATAATTTAAAATTGTGAATGAGAACAAAATGATGCAAGTGCCGCGTGTGTAAGATCGAAGGTTGGTGCAAGGGGCGTCTCACGACACTCAAAATAGCATTTCGTTGATCACAGGAACGGCTCATGATCCTTTTGCTACTATAGAATCCATCCATACTTGATATTATCAAACTTACATTAAAGATTGATTTTTTTTTATTATGCAATCCATCGATATTTGATATTATCACATTTACACCAAAAATTTTAGAAAAAAATTGTGATATTATCGAGAGTGATAATAAAGAGTGAATTTTACACTAGGAAAATCGGTTTCAAACTTTTAGGTGACAATATCGAGGTGTTATATTAAAAAGTGTGACATTATCGAGGTTAGGGTGTATTCTCTTTGCAAATTGAACTCGCGACTGAAATTTGTACACGTACACTTTTTTACACTGCTGTCAAGGCGAGTTGATGAAAGGGTGGCCAAAATTAATAATAAAGGATGGGAATACCCATCAAGCCGTCCAGGGATAATACCAAATTTGGACTTATCAGAAATATCACAACTAAGAACCAATTGGCTCCCCGTCGTTTTTTGAAACGTAGGAAAGCGGTTCGAATTAATTTGGAAAATTACAGTACACTCAGTTTTTGAGTTTGCCATGCTCAATTGCACCTTGACCGAAACCTACCACAAGTATCAGCAGACTAAATGTCTGCGGTTGTTTATTTTATGGAAGCCGTAATAGGAGGAGCGAGTTTCTGTCGTCCAGATTTTAAGTAGTGCTTGAATAAGTTACTAAATTCGTCTAACTTGTGCAAAGCACTAGTTGGTCAAGTTTTGATGATCGATTCTGTTGACTTTTTTTTCTTGAGAATTATGGAGATGATATAGAGGAGTGAAGGTGTAATGATTCTAAGTTTTTTTTCCTAGCCTCTACTTATGTTAGTTAGCGGTTATGGTTTTGCGTTGTGGATGAGATATACGTAGTTCTATGTAGCCACTATCAATTTCTTTATGATAGTTTGAATACAAGCAATATGATGCTATAACATGTTCTACATCGTGCTTTCTATGTACAGAATCGCACTCAGCGACCACTTACTCAAACGGAAGCGAGAGCTCATATGTCGCAATACAGGGTGCCAGATTTTACTGACCTCTACTTGCTGCAGCTCTTCCTATGCTCGTTCTGTCGCTTCCAGTCTCCTGTCCGGTGTTCTCTTGAGCAATACCAGACCTTCTTACACAGCGTGAGGAAAAACGTTTGTTGCACAGGCGACGTATCTTCTCTCCTGTCAATGATTCCCCGTCATTGGGTGGAGGGAGGTTTCACCCTGTCAGACAGCGTTCTGTTATGAAGGAATTACTCTAGGTAACCTCCTCGCCACTCCTCTGGTAGCTGTGAAAGCATTGACTTGATCGAGTCCGACAACTTCCCGCTTTCATAGGCGTGTAGAATGGTTTGCATCTCGCAGGAGAGGAGTCACAAGCCTTGGTGAAGTCTGGGCCAGTTTGACCCTGGACAATTAGCCGAGGAAGAATCCCTCTGTTTAGTAGATGAGGAGCATTCAGATCCGTCATGGCCTGTCTCTCATCCGTCTAGATTTCACTTCAGATGTACCAATTTATCAACTTGGCTTTGGAGGTCAGAAGGATTTCAAGACGATACTAGTCCGACGCAAATTTCTCCAATTTTACAACTCTCCAAAGTTCTCCAGGAAACGTCCAATGCGCTTCATCCACGCGAAACCAAAAAAGTCTACTGTAAAGGGCTCGGTTTTTACGGTGGAGTATAACGAACATCACATTAACCAATTATTTCAGCTGTACGCAAGTCACGGTCCGTTCCTGCACATCCATCTTCAGAAATGGAGGGGATGAACAAGCATGCATGCTTTCACTGCTTGTACGAGTGTAAGCATCTGGTTCGACTTGAAAGTACCACTTCCGTCGGAGAATCCACGATTACTGACCTCGTCACGTCCATATCTCTTGATCTGTCATTTCTATCCGATAATAAGTTTATTTATAGTCTGGAATTTTGAGTGAAAGGGTCAGATTCTTGCTTGTCCAGGCACAGTACTGCTGTGTAGAAATCCTAAACCTTTGACTTCTTCTAAGTCAAAACTATCAAAGCGGGTCCACTATCCTCCTGCCTATCGATAGCAGTGCTTTTCTTTGTCGCATTCTTTCTGCCTCTACTCACTTTGACCTGAGTCCAATGTATGTATGCAGCTCCTCCTATCATACAAGAGCGTATTTGGACATGTGCTAACTGGGAAGGTATTGATGCTTTAGATCGAGATTGGATGCCAAAATTTACCAAAAGTGGAAAGTTCCACTGCTACTTGGCACCGGACTGAGGACATCTGACATGCAGATCTGCAATTGATGTGCAGTATTTGTAAGTGGGCACAGTTTCAACTAGACCTGGTCCTCATTCAGGTGAAAGGAGTAACCGCGTGATTCTCAGCATATTTGCAGAACACCTTCCTGGCCGGGATTCTCAAGCCCCATGTTTTCAAGAGACTAGATCGACGTGCTGGTTTCCTGGAGGCTTCGGAGTTTATCCAGTTTTCATATAATCTACAATGAGAGCTAGAGCTGGAAAAACGTGCCCAAGGGACTTTACGACCTTGTTCGATGCTTGAATAGTGACAATCGTATCCTAAGACGACCTGGTAAGTCGTCTCTGGCTCGGCGACCTGGTACGTCACGGTGGTCCATCCTATTCCGAACATGGTTCTGTCATTGTCACACTCGAATCAATCTTCTGAGGTTGGGCTAGACCGGAACGAGACCAGGACAAATCACGGCTTCTAAAACTTGTCCTGACTGAAGTAGGTCTCGTCTTGCTCATTTCGAAGGTTGTCGGAACCAGCACTCAGGATAAAAATGTTAGATATGTGAACTGAATGCCAGTTGATGACTGCGGCAGTAAGAGATACCAGAAACTCGTCAAGGTGGAGGAACCTCATAACTGCACCAGCCTCGGACAAAAATATTGCGTAGACACGCGCAGGCATACCATCCGCACCATTGACTCGGATGCTTTTCATTCTTCTTGATTGGCTCATTCTTTCTGCACAAAAATCTGATACGTAAAAACCAAAGCATCGATCCGTTGACTTTGTCCGACCTTAATAGAGAGTGCGATTCCAGGCAAGCACCTACATTCTGGAGAAGGACAACTTTTGCTAAGTCGATGCCTCTATAAGTGACTGCTGGCTGGCATTACTTGTGTTTGCAACGGCAGCTACTGAAGATTCCAGTTGTTGAAGATAACAGACCACAATGTCTGAAGGAAAGATTCATCTGTAGAATACGGATGATAAGCTTAGCTTAGACAGGCGAAGGTTGTCTGTAGGATCTAATAGATATTTTGGATTGTGATTAGATCATTCTCAAAATCGATTTAGATCCATGAATCCGACTTTTGATTTTCGAGGTCATCTCCGAAACGTAGTTCCACGATTTCTGCTCATGGATTTCAGGGGACCAGAGTGGCAATTGAGCCACGATCAGGTAGTAGGAGTTTGTGTGGCAGGATTTTTCTTCCTCGTCTGGTTCTTTTGGGAATTCTACGATGATCGAAGGTATAATGTCCCAAAAGGATCTCTAGGATGGATTCCGTTCTTCGGCGAGACTCTAGAGTTCGCGAGGAATCCGCGAGATTACACTGCTAGGAGATTTAAAAAGTGAGTGCCAAATCGGAATTTCATCGCAGTTCCACGCAAACTGCAATGATGTATTTCTCCTGAAAGCCATCACTCTGTGTGCCTTACCTTGGGACTTAGTCAATTGCTCATGATTCACGCAGGTATGGACCAGTTTTCAAAGGCTGCTTTCTGGGACTTCGATCTGTGGTGTCCATGGATCCTGAGTTCAGCCAGCTTAGAGATGTGAACGGAGCCGAATGTTTCAAGATAACCCTGCCCAGGAACTTGAGGGCGATGATCGGAGACACCTACAACATGTCGGCCGAGCAAGCGGGACTGCAAAAAGTTCTACTGGGTGTGATGCAACCTGAGACCTTGAAATCACAGATCAAAGAAATAGAGGCACTAATCCTGGCGGGCTTGTCTCAATGGGAAGGAAAAACTATTGGAGTCTGGAGATCATGTAAGAAGGTAAGTTCTTAGTCCTGATATTATCTAACTGTAGATATAGAGTTCTCGTAATGAGCACTACTTGAATTTCATGATCAATACAGAAGAGTAACAGTCGTCTTACCAGACTGGACATGTATGTAATTTTCTTCTCAATCCTGCTTCTAGAACAGAATAATGGAATGCCAGTTTTCAGATTGAAACTATGTAAATTTGATTCAACGGTACTTAATTGCAAAGACTGTCCACTGATGAAGGTTCTCACTGTCTTGTTTCCCCTTTTTCGAGCAGATTGTTCTTTCCATTTCTGTGTACGTGAATCTGGGTCATGATCCCTCTGAAAAGAAGATACGTGATCAGATTTCCAAGCTTGTACCTATCTTCAACGAAGCACTTGTAGCACCACCGCTTTACCTTCCAGGCACATTGTACTACAGAGGCTACCAAGTGAGTCGTTCTAAAGCTTTGATAAAAACCAAGATTCCATTCAGTGCGAAAGATTTGGGTAAACAATGTGAACACATTAGAAGTTGCAGTCAGTTTCCGGATGACCCGAGCTAATTGGAAGATATGAAAACACTGTACATAAGATTTTAAATTGTGTTTTCTGGAACTGCTGGCAACCATCATGCTTGTGAGAGATAATTATGATAAGCCAGGATTAGCTTGGGAGGATTACGAATCTACTCAGCCTTGACCGTCAATTTTAAGAAATAAATAACTATCAGTTCAGAGTTATTCAGGCTGTACGTTTCTCAACTTTTGCCACCCTGTTTTCACAATAGGCAAGGTTGAAGATGGAGAGTTTACTCGGTCAAATGGTTAAAAGAAGGAGACAATCCTGGAGTGAGAACATTCTTCTCACAAGCAAAGATTTGCTCAGTGCTCTGTTGCGGTACAAGACTACAGAAGGAAAGGAGCTGAGCTTGAAGCAAATTACTGATGTAATATGTATTTCGTTCCTCGGCGGTCAAGACACCTCTACTGCAGCTCTCTCATGCACAATCAAAGAACTCTCCAAAAGTGCACTTATCAGAAAGGCTGTTGTGGTAATTGCCGAAACCTCACATCATTTTGTCACATCAACATCTTTCACACATGCTTGACCAAAATAAAATGAGAGTTCACATGCACTTATCAGTTCATTCTCCTCTGTAATCTTGTATTTGGTGAATTTAGAATCACTCCTTCAAAATTGTTGCTCTGACATCCATCCTAAGCATAGAGTCCAATTTGCTGCCCACTAGAGCATAAATCAGAAACATGAAAGTCAGTTTCTACAAAACTCGTCCTTCGAATGAATCATTGGCGACCTGTCGTTGTTGCGCAGGCAGAATGTGATGCCATCGAAGAGCGGAGATTTGCTTCAACTTCACTGACAATGGCGGATACAAGAAACATGCTTTACATTAAGAAGGTTAGGCTCAGTTCAAATTCCCAGACACACGTTGAGCAAGGTTATAGCGACCCAATTGGCCCTGAGTTTGGACAGAGCTGCTTCATCACTCATGGACAAAACAATCAGATTAGCATATCACTGACAAATACTAACATTACAGTCCAGACCTAATCTGAATTCTGCTCTTCTGACATGATCGCCTGATTCGAGATGCAGCTATTCAAAGAAGTCCTCAGAAAACATACCATCGTTCCTTTCACGCAGAGGCAAGCCAAAGAAGATGTAGACATCAATGGTGAGTTGTCTGTCTACCTTTACCTAGTTGCTATGTTGATTTTGATGTTCTGTGTCTCCAGGAGATGTCTTAGGAAATTCCTTCTAACGAGTACCTTTTGATTTTCTATGATTACTGATCGCAGGTTCTCTGATTCCTAGAGGGTGGTACGCAATAGCGATGTTGAGTAGTATTAACATGAACCCTAAGCTTTGGACAAACCCAGAGGTGTTCAATCCGTCGAGATTCGATGTAAGTATATTACTCCATTCAGTTTAGAAGCATGTGAGTAGATTAGAGATCCAAGAGTTCTTCGTGTGAACTGACTGGTCAGAGAGCCTTCACTTTATACAGGACCTCGATGGAACTCACCGCAAGATCAAGTCGTAATATTCTGGAGTGGGTTCCCTCTGACATGATGGCGGAGAAATGAGTGTCTGAGTTCGCAGCAGAACTTCTCATACAGCTTCTTGTGTCGATTTGTGTGACCTCTGACAATGTAGGAACCGCAGCAGGCAAAAGTATTTGCACCTTTTGGGGTTGGAGCGCACATGTGTCCTGCTAAAGCCCTCGCTGAACTGATCTCGAGTATCTTTGTGTACCATCTTCTCCACAAATACGAGTACATTTCTCACCCCTGTTTCCAGAACTTGGACTTTCATTCATTTTCATTGAACCCTGCTTCATGCCTATTGCAACAAATCATCGACTTAGGCAGCTGGCCAAACACGGCTAATATGGAACTCAAGAGTATGGATGGCTAAAGGCTTTGTCACTTTATGATAACAGGCATTAAAGCATGTGTTGCTATGTACATGTGGTACAGGTGGAAGGTGGAGGGCAAGCTTGTGGATGAGAAACTTAAAACTGGAGCTCTACTTCCTATTCCAGTCCCGAAAGAAGAGATTCGTCTTCTTGTCAGACGAAGGAAAATGATTGCGAAGAAGCAGATGACACCACCGTCAACCTTCGTACCCACTCATCGCTGAAACCAGTTATTAAACTTTCTGTAGGATTGTGTAGGCCAGTCTGTGTAGGATTACACGGACCTCCGGACACCAGTCGACAATTTCCCAGCAGCCAACCAAGAGTAGATTTCCCCCTCCTACGATGAGTATACACTCGTGAAGGATCCTGATGTCTACTGATTCGAACTTACTGTCTTCGTTTACTCAACGTCTAGAGAGGAGGAGGGAAGAGGACTTTGATTGACGAATTATGTTGGACCAGAAAGAAAAATTGGCATTCAATATTAACGTGAGTCCCCACCAGATTTATAAAGCCATCTCAAATTGGAATGTACTTGTACAAACCTTGCGTCTGTGTACGATACAAATAACATTCAATGTAAGAGTGTATACTTCGTCAAGAAAAATGAAAATTTCACAACTATTATTTGGGACAAAAGATACCGGATATTTATGTGGAATCTAATCTCATTTTGTCTTGCATGTTCATTCATGGGTACCTGGTTGCTACATCTGAATGTACAACCATGCACTTGGGTTGTCCGATATCACCCGTATTTTATTCAAATCAACTTGCAATGCAGTTTAGCTACTTTTGAGGCGTAGAAAAAATTACAAATTAAGAAGAGATACATATCTTAACACAGAATTGTGGGAAACATCATCGCGCATGAAGTTTGCATAAACCATCTCACACGCAATAAAAAGGTAATAAGACAAAGTGTAAAACTATTAATATAGGAATAAATCAGCAGAAGTATAATTTCTTATGATTTAGTATGAAATAATCAAAGATGATATATATATGTAGTATTAAAGGTCATGTTATCTTTTTTTATATATTTTAAAATATCTTTGTAAGAAATTATTTTCAAAAAATTAAAACATTGTTACTTTTTGTAGTATGAATTATATCTTGAAGAATTTCAAGACTGCCATAAAAAAATAACAGGTGTGCATTGTAATTATGAAGCTGATGCCATTTAATAAATTAATATTATTTGATGTAATATATGTACCTACTTCATTCATCACAAACAAAATTCACAATGTATATAATCAAGCATGATCTAATAATTTAAAAAATCATGACATAAAAGTGAAGCTACACAGATATTGATCAACTCTTCAGAAATAAAATTTCAGAAAATTCTAATTCAAGTAATGGCTTGAAATGCGCATATACGTTGTCAAGAGCCACAAAATACATGTCACCAAATACTTTCACGAGAAGTTCATACTCGTAGGTCTTCTGTTGAAGTTAGTGAATTTAGATTAAGCTGGCAAGAATTTTTATTTTACATTAATAATTACTTTTGATAGTAACGAAGCTTGGTCCAATCTAAAACAAGGATATTCGATTTAAAAATAAAATATTAAACAAAATTATAAATTGTACGAAATTTTAATAGGTTAATTAATGATTTGTACATTTTCAAACAAACCATGAACTTCTGATTTCTCTTAGCATGTTATTATCAACTACTTCTACAGCACCAGACTCTACAATTTGAAGGTTTTCACTATTGAGATGCCAGGTTTCATTCTCTTCATAATAAATCATCGTGCCAATATTTTGTTGTTTCGATGATTTCCCATTCTACTCAACTCATAACGTTCATTTAAGTAGGGAAGCAAGCCGGGCACAAGAATAAATTAGTAGAGAAAAGAAAGATAAAACCTCAAATTAATCTAGAATTTATTTAAAAATCTCACAATTTTTGATTAATCAACTTTATCTCGGTTATATGCCACATGTGCAGTTTGGAATTTACATGCACATGAAAATTGCTCTACAAATCTCGAGTTGTTAACTTTGTAATTTGATCAATTGAAGTCTTGAATCTAAATTGACTTCAACCTGTTGTGGAAATTAACTAACTCACATAGTACTTTACAGATTCATTTGTAACTGAGTGTTGTACTTGTATAGTTATCTTTCATGTGGATGCTAAGATCAATTTTGTTTCTAAATCGCACAATTATCTCTAATTTTTTTAGTCAAATCTCATTCATCATTTTAGATCACATGTTGTAAAAAATTTGAAATTTATTTTTGAACTGGAATAAATTCAGATGATATGTCAACAATCATCAAACTTATATTTAAGCTTGTATCAATATCTCATGGATTGAAAACAACTTTGACAATAAAAATTTTTTAGATCATTGAAATATTTTAGATTAAGAGAATAGCTTACTAGAAAACAAAACATACATTTTGAAATTAAAAAATATTTAAAATGATTATATTTTTCCTTAAATAGATTATTTTAGAAGTATAAAGAAGTAAAATTTCATTTCATCATTTAATACATTCTTAGTTGATTGATTATAATTATCAGTAGATTAGGTTATCAATCAAGCTATATGATTTGATGAATGTTAAGTACAGTATTTTATATATGCTTGAATCTTGCATCTAGTAAGAAGAGTAACAAAGACTACTATTTTACAAATTGAATAATATTAAGAAGTGATGTTGTTTAAAATTTAAAATTGACTCATTGAAAACAAGAGAAAATTTAGAAGTGTATTTCTCATTATGCAGATATACAAATAATAAAATATCCAACTGAGTTGCAAAATTTATACTCTTCTATTAGTCCCTGTTACTTGGAAAGGCTTCAATAAATGATTCACACAATCGATGTGCAATGCGGTGATATGTCAACAATGAATAATTTCTTCTAATCCTACGCTATTTGATAAAATATAGAAACCAAATTAAAACTATCATGATAAAGGAAGGTATGGGAGTCAACTATGACATATCACTTATTCTTCCATCAGTCAATTTCAATTTTTAGAGAAAGCCATACATATTATCTACGTTCGGAGAATAACGGGTTAGAATCCCGTTGTTCGCTATAAACTAAAATTTTTTCATATTGTCATAAAGACAAATAAAAAAGTAAAATATTTCCAGAAACTTATCAAAATCTTTCCTTTTTTTTGGAGAAAAAATTTCTCGGTCCTACAAGACTTTATCGCCGGTATCGTTCCTTTGGACAAAAAATAACTGCGCGGAACCATTCACGGCCTTGAACCCTTCGGGACTTGTTAAACAAAAGAAATCTCTTTCGGATCAAAAGGTGTTGCGCAACTCTTCTTCTAGTCTCGTGACTTTCGCGGCCATAGGTATGAAAAGCACGTAGCTTTCATATATCTCTGGTTATGGTAATGGTAATGGTAAATAGATCAAGCCCGTGGGACCCAAAGGGTCAAAAGGCTAAATAACACAATACAAACAATCCAACTCCAAACAAGGAGAGAACCAAAAGAACCATCTAGCTAGTGTCCAAAGCACTAGAACGGTAACAAATAACATCCCTAATGTAACAACCTAAATCATAAGGCTCAAGCTGAAGCAAAGAATAAAAATTCTCAACAACAACTTTATGAGCCACTCTAATCTCTACATATCTAGTACAAGTAAGAAATACATGCTCTTCATCCTCAACTTTCATACCATCACATAGCCTACAAATACGTTCACTCCTATCAATGTTCAACCAACGCACTTCTTCAATTCCAAGACTATGAGATCCTGTTCTATGTCTAGCAATAATATGACGTAAAGAAGTAAATATCTCTGCAAGTAAGTATCCTTGCTCACAATGAACAAGCATAGGATTCACATGAAGTTGATAAAATTGCATCTTGGTGCCTCGTCTGCTCCACATAATGCTGAAAAAATCCTCCTTAATACGCTCGCGTAGAGCAATAGGTTGCAAATCCCAATCGAGTTCCATCACATTCCACCTCAAAGATCAAGTCACCACATCTGCAAACCAACCCTTGGGACGTGTGGCACGTAAAGCTTCAAGAGTAAGTCGAGAAGCATCAAGAGATCTCACTCTTTTGACGTAAGTGATAGCCAAAAAGAGAGCTTCAGCCTCAAGAAGTAGACAACCTGTTTCCCCAAGAAGAATTGCATAAGAAGTTTGGGTACTCACACCCAATTCTTCTTGTAAGAAGATCTTTTGCAACCTCTCCAAACGCTGCCAACCTGTCTTCTTACAACCAGGACCTCACACTTGTGTTCCATATAAGATAACGGGGAACACTAAGCTCCTGAATAAGAATTTCCTAAGACTCCAAGATACTAGATAAGCTCCTCTACATCTATTTAGCATTGAATATAGAGCTTTGAAACCAGCTTCTACCCTCTTTTGCACACAAAGTGCCCAACTATAATTAGATGAGAAATCAATGCCCAAATATTTGTAACTTTTCACTTATTCCAACTCTAATTCTTTGTAACAGAAAGAAAACTTGGATCTAGTGCCCACAAGAATGACTTTGGACTTCTCCATATTGACTTCCATCTGATTTTGAGTACAAAAGCTAGCCAAAGCGTCAAGGTGTTTCTGTAAACTAATGGCATCACGTGCTAGTAATATGACATCATCTGCATACAAAAGAGCTTTGATGACAAAGCCTCCAAGTTTAACACCTTCGCTATCACAATCCTCCAACCACCTTTCTATATCATCTATGAAAACTCCAAAGAGAGTAGGAGAGATAGTACAACCTTGAATAACTTCAATGGTGCTGATAATCTCTTCGGTTTGAGAAGTGTTGATCTTGGCCCGAACTGAGTGATATAATGTAGCCACCGCTGCTAAGAGATCTGATGGTACTCCAATGGTTTGCAATCTTTGCCATAAAAGCTCACGAGGTACTGTGTCAAAAGCTTTCTTGAAATCAATGAAAGCACAAAACAAAGCTTTTCCATTACCCTTTGATTTCTCCCATAGAACACGTAAAACCAAGATATGGTCTATATTGTTGAATGTAGGACGAAAACCAGCTTGGAACCGGGCTCTCTTCTGACAGGATTCAGCCCATGTGCTCAACTTTGACTCCACCAATTTGCCAAATAACTTGGCAAAAATATTACCCACCATGATAGTGCAATAGTTTGTCACCAAGGCCTTGCTCCCAAATTTGTGAATAGGAACAATCTTCCGTAGAGACCAAGTTGAAGTAAAGCCATGAATAGCAGCATTCTCTAACACTTTCGTGAGTATAGGCCCTATAGCATCTCCTCCCCACTTGAGAAGTTCAATGGAAAGCCCATCCAAATCCTCACATTTACTATTTGCCAATTGTCTAAGTTGAGTCATCACTTCAACTTCTGAAAATGAGCCTGGATTTCCTTCACAATGTGGCATTCATGCAACATTGGGAAAAAAATAAAGCTTTTCAGCAAAAGAAATCAAAGACTTTGGATCAAGAGTAGGTTTAGAAGATCGTACTGCCAGCCGCCTCCAAAAGGATTTGGGATTCTCCAAGAGCTCATTTGTCAAGCACTTTTGCTTCTGCTTCAAAAATGCTCGTTTCTTAGATTTCACCAAGTCTTTGCAAAGTCTTGTCATAATCAACCGATTATGAGTATCCAAGGATTTATCAAGTGATCTCGCCCTT